CTTGTACCACCTCGTACCAGCTCGTACCAGCTCGTACGCTGCAGCTCGTACCACCTCGTACCAGCTCGTAATAGCTCGTACCAGCTCGTACCATGTGCCAGCTCGTGCCAGCTCGTACCACCTCGTACCAGCTCGTACCAGCTCGTACCAGCTCGTGCCAGCTCGTACCAGCTCGTACCAGCTCGTACCACTTGTACCAGCTCGTACCGCCTCGTACCAGCTCGTACCAGCTCGTACCGCCTTGCACCAGCTCGTACCCCCTCGTACCCCCTTGTATACCACCTCGTACCACCTCGAATACCAGCTCGTATACCAGCTCGTATACCAGCTCGTATACCAGCTCGTATACCAGCTCGTACCACCTCGCGGCCTCACACCAGCTCGTATACCAGCTCGTACCACCTGGTACCAGCTCGTACCAACACCGGCATGGAATCGAACCTCCCAAACGTCGCTCCGGAGACCAACGCCTAAGCCATCTCACCATCGGCTTTTGTTACCGTCCCAAAACGGCGCTTTATGGCCCAAAAACGCCCTCACCGCTTCGTCACCGCTTCGTCACCGCTCTCTTTGGGGCCGAAAAGTGCGCAAAAGCGCCCCAGTTCGAGAGGACACGGTTCTTGGCAAGTTTGAGTCAATAATGGAACCGGGTGATTCGTACCAGCTCGTGCCAGCTCGTACCAGCTCATGCCAGCTCGTACCAGCATGTACCAGCTCTTGCCAGCTCGACATCCAGCTCGTACCAGCTCGTACCACGTCGTACCACCTCGTACCACCTCGTACCATCCTCATACCACCTCGTACCCTCGTACCAGCTCGTACCATGCAGCTCGTACCAGCTCGTGCCAGCTCGTGCCAGCTCGTACCACCTCGTACCAGCTCGTACCACCTCGTCCCACCTCATACCATGTCGTACCAGCTCGTACCAGCTCGTACCACCTCGTACCAGCTCGTACCAGCTCGTACCACCTCGTACCAGCTCGTGCCAGCTCGTACCAGCTCGTGCCAGCTCGTGCCAGCTCGTACCAGCTCGTACCAGCTCGTACCAGCTCGCACCAGCTCGCACCAGTTCGTACCGTACCACCTCGTACCAGCTCGTACTAGCTCGTACCACCTCGTACCAGCTCGTACCAGATCGTACCAGCTCGTACCAGCTCGTACCAGCTCGTACCACCTCGTACCACCTCGTACCACCTCGTACCAGCTCGTACCACCTCGTACCACCTCGTACCAGCTCGTACCACCTCATACCACCTCGTACCAGCTCGTACCAGCTCGTACCACCTCGTACCAGCTCGTACCAGCTCGTACCAGCTCGTACCACCTTGTACCAGCTCGTACTACCTCGTACCAGCTCGTACCAGCTCGTACCAGCTCGTACCAGCTCGTACCACCTCGTATACCAGCTCGTATACCAGCTCGTATACCAGCTCGTATACCAGCTCGTACCACCTCGCAGCTCGTACATGCTCGTACCACCTCATACCAGCTCGTACCAGCTCGCACCATCTCGTACCACCTCGTACCAGCTCGTACCACCTCGTACCAGCTCGTACCAGCTCGTACCAGCTCACCAGCTCGTACCACCTCGTACCAGCTCCTACCAGCTCGTACCAGCTCATACCACCGCGGTACGAGGTGGTACGAGGTGGTATGAGGTGGTACGAGGTGGTACGAGGTGGTACGAGGTGGTACGAGCTGGTACGAGGTGGTACGAGGTGGTACGAGGTGGTACGAGGTGGTACGAAGTGGTACGAGCTGGTACGAGCTGGTACGAGCTGGATGTCGAGCTGGCGCGAGCTGGTACGAGCTGGCATGAGCTATCATGAGCTGGTACGAGCTGGCACGAGCTGGTACGAATCACCCGGTTCCATTATTGACTCAAACTTGCCAAGAACCGCGTCCTCTCGAACTGTGACGAAGCGGATCGAAGCGGTGAGGGCGTTTTTGGGCCATAAAGCGCCGTTTTGGGACAGTAACAAAAGCCGATGGTGAGATGGCTTAGGCGTTGGTCTCCGGAGCGACGTTTGGGAGGTTCGATTCCACCCCGGTACCTTGGCATGGTACGAGCTGGTACGAGCTGGTACCAGGTGGTACGAGCTGGTATACGAGCTGGTACGAGCTGGTATGAGGTGGTACGAGCTGCGAGGTGGTACGAGCTGGTATACGAGCTGGTATTCGAGTACGAGCTGGTGCAAGGTGGTACGAGCTGGTACGAGGCGGTACGAGCTGGTACAAGTGGTACGAGCTGGTACGAGCTGGTACTGGCACGAGCTGGTACGAGCTGGTACGAGCTGGTACGAGCTGGTACGAGCTGGTACGAGCTGGTACGAGCTGGTACGAGCTGGTACAAGCTGGTACGAGCTGCAGCTTGGTACGAGCTGGTACGAGGAGGTACGAGGAGGTACGAGGTGGCACGAGCTGGCACGAGCTGGTACGAGCGCTGGTACGAGCTGGTACGAGGTGGTACGAGATGGTGCGAGCTGGCACGAGCTGCAGCTACGAGCTGGTACGAGCTGGTACGAGCTATTACGAGCTGGTACGAGGTGAGTTGGTACGAGCTGGTACGAGGTGGTACGAGGTGGTGCGAGCTGGTACAAGGTGGTACGAGGAGGTACGAGCTGGCACGAGCTGGCACGAGCTGGCACGAGCTGGTACGAGCGCTGGTACGAGCTGGTACGAGCTGGTGCGAGGTGGTACGAGATGGTGTGAGCTGGCGCGAGCTGGTACGAGGTCAATATCCGTAACCTAATTTGACATTTCAAGATCTTTGAAGCACTGCGAGAATCTGCGAATATCTGCGAGAGATTGCGAGAGACTGCGAGAAGATGCGAGAAATTGCGAGAAGGCAAACATAGACAAGCGGTAGAACATGGTAGAACACGATAGAATACGGTAGATCAGATTGGGGCTCAAGGGAGAGCCCTCAGGCAAGATCAGGCAAGTTTTTTTTGCTACAGTCGTGACCTGCGTCGCCGGTGCTGCAATGGTGCGTCCAGACTGCGCGGGCAGAGGTCGCGCTTGGCGCAAAGGAGTGCGGGGGAGCATTGCTGGAAAGCAGGGGAGCAATGCCAGCACGCAGAGTCCCGCGCAGCAAGCGCAGAAGCTCAAGTCGCAGGTTCGAGATCTTGAGCAGAAGGAGCGGCTGTGGATCGCCTTTGCTTTCGCCCTGATGCAGCGCGAGTGCACCATGGGGGAGATGCTGACAGACTTAACAGCCTCTGAGTTGCCCTACTTCTTGGCACGTATGAGCGAGATGGCATGAGACGCCTGATATCGCCTGATGACGCTTGCCTGATTCTGAGAAAAAACATGTGCCAAGCGCCCCTTGTCAGGGAAGCACGCTCAGATAATCTCAGATATTCTCAGATATTGATATTTCCTGATATTTCCTGATACTTTGGTTGATCTTAAAGGGGCGGATTGGGGCAGCAACATGCTGCAAGATGCTGCAAGTCTATGAACTTAGCCGAAGGCACGCCAATGGCGGCATGTGCTTGGAAACAGCACGAATGTAACAGCATGTAACAGCTGTGCGAGCTGTGATGAGCTGTGCGTTTGGTGTGAGTCGCGTGGTTTTGCGTTTTTTCAGCACGCTGGAGCTGCCATATCCGGCCGATTTCTGCCGCAGCAGTTCTTGTCAGCAATTTAGCCCCAAGAGATCCCAAGAATTCCGAAGATATCTGATGGATTTTTGGGGACGCAAGGCTGCTTTTCGATTTTGGTCACGTTCTTTCTCAGGCCTTTTCAGATTTGGTCACAGAGTCCCTGGATGTCCCTGGCTGATTTTAGGATATGTTGGGATATTTTGGGGCTCAAGTGTTGAGTCATGTTGAGTCGCATCTTGTCCTTGGGTCAGTCCTTGGGTCAGCAATGGCTTCTTTTGCTTGTGCGGCGGTGCTGGCATGGCTGTCTTTCGCAGACCCATCGCCAGTGCACGCAGCGCGCAAGCTTGACACAGCGACGTCGGCCGGGAGCTCAGCAGAAACATATGAATATATGGATGTAGATAGAATTACATAGATGCAGCATGATGCAATATGATGCAGCATGATGCAGCAACAGCATTGACGCCTCTACTGGTGGGGCAGGCTATGGCAGGCTGCGTGTTTTACGTGCAAAATCGTGCAACATCGTGCAAATATGTGCCACATCACGCATTGACCGGACAAGTGTTCACATGATCTCACATTTACCATATTTTACCATCGTGCACTTGCCCTGCATCATGGGAATTCATGGATATTCACAGGGTTCGCTCGGAAATGCTCGGAGCCTTTTTTTCTAATCCTGTTTTATCCTTTGTGCTCCGCGCTCCGTCACTTCTCAGCGGCAGCGAGGTCCCCAGGAGCAAGTGGTACCGCGCGGAGCCGGACATTGAGCACTGGCTGAGTTTCGCAAAGAGATTTCGAGGCAGGCTGTGGGGTGCTAGGGAATGCTAGGGAGTCGTGCGTTGTTGAGACAGGAGATGACAGGAGAACACAGGAGATATCAGGAGATACAAGGAATTACAAGGAGATAGCATAGATTGCGAGATATTGCGAGAGCGCCCAGTGGCAAGGCAAATGGCAGTGTTTCTGCATGTGTCTGCGATGTGCGTTCACATTTGCACATGTTTGCGCAGCATTGTGTGGCCTCGGTTGGACTCGGTTCTTGGTAGATCTTGGTATATCTTGGTAGTGTAATGTAGTGTATCTTATTGTATCTTGGTGATTCTTGGCGTTCACTCAGAGTAACTTAGCCGGGTATAGATGGGTATAGATGATTATAGATGGGTAATGATGGGCATAGCTTCATTCTATCATTCTGGCATATATTCTGGCCCAGTCTTGTGGCTTTGAGGCGCTGCTGACCTGCACGCCTTGGATCTGTTTTCAGCTTCTGGCAGGGTGCGCTCTTCTGTTGAACAGCTCGGCTTCCGGGCCAGCCAGTTTGACATAGCTACAGGCGGGCCTTCCGAAGACATCACGAGCAAGGCTGGCTTCTACAGCCTGGTGCTGATGGGGCTTCGCTTGGTCCAGTTTGCCTTGATTGTCGCCGGTCCACCTTGCTCAATGTTCATTTTCTTGTCTTCAAGCCAACATCAGAGGCACATCTGGGGACCCTGTGGAAATCCTTTCGACCGTGCCACGCAGCTGGCCAACCTGATTGCTTCCAACACCGTGCTTTGGCTCGTCATATCTCGTAATTGTGTAAAATGGCTTTGTGATGCTTTGTGGCATTATTACATTTTACTACGTCTTTTTCAAAAGTACGGTATAGTACGGCTTACATCGTTTTACTACGTTTTACTCCTGACAAGATCTGACAAGCGCGTGATGAAGTCTTTTAACACACGATCGATCACACGATACCGCGCAAGTGATCTTAAAACCATTCTTTTAAAACATCATAATATATCACATATTCAACGATGCAATTAGATTATATTAGATTTTTACTCATATAGCATCGTACGATATCGTACGTTCACACACGATCTGCGTTCTACAATTTCTACTATCCGAACACATCCGAACGCTGAGGTAGTCTTCCTGCGGATCATCAAGCAGGTCCGAGTGGCGTGGGTTGTTCTGGAGCAGCCCCGGGGCAGCTGGCTGCTGAAGTTGCCAGCAGCTGTGGCCTTGTCTAGTGAGCTGCAGCTGGGCCGCGTGAGCACGCACATGTGCTTCTGGGTGCTGGGCCGACAAAATATGATAAAAGTATCCGACTTTATGCCATTAATCATGGACTCCGGCATACTCCGACCACATCCGGCCACGTGACATCACACGACAGCTTGACATAGCTTGACACTGCTTGGTGTGACTTGATCAGCGTGCTTGGACAGGGCCATCAGCTGGAAAAGGCCACCGTTCTTGTGGGAGATCTGCCCAACCTTTCAGCCCTACATCGCCGGATGACAAAAGGCATGAGACGCAAGATGCAGAGAGCGCACAAGACACACCCGCCTATGTGGGTTAGAGATGCTCGTGGCAAGGTCCATGGCGCCCCACGCTTGGCACAAAGTGCAGTTTACCCTCGCCGGTTCTGCAATGATCTTGCGCTTCTCTGGAAGCGGGCGTTCGTTTCACACTTGCTTCAGAGGTGCTTGGCACACGTTGCTCGTGGCCGATGAGTGACGAGAGAGACGGGACTGTGTTGTGTAGTATGTGCACATATGTGCACTGCTGCGTTTGTGACCATGAGATACCAGGAGCAACGCAAGTCACCTTGATTTGAGCAGATTATTGTACAGTTTGCTACGTATTGGGGGCATATGGGGATGCCCTCAAGATATCTCAAGATACCGTGTCTTGAGGAGAAGATGCGAGCGATTGCGAGCGCATATAGGAGTGTGTGGGACTGACTTGCACAGTGTTGCAATGCTGCTGGGTTTGATAATTTGACAAGGCACTACAAGGCATGACAAATCATGACAAGGCGCACACTGCAATAATATGCAATAAGCCAAAATGATTCGGATTGATTCGGGCTGAGCCGGGGTGACTCAGAGTGCCCTTGTATGATGTCTTGTATGCGCTTGGTTTATCTTGGCTTGCAGATGTTTGCAGCATGCCACATTGTTGATCATTGTTGTGTTTTTCGTGACCTTGCCATACGCGACACTACGCGACCTATGGAGTAAGTGTCTTTTTGCCAGCTTTTGCTCGAGCACCATATTGTGCAATCGCAAGGCGCCGTAGGCTAGCTGTCGGCCCGGCTCGAGAGCCATCGAGAACCTTTGGCACTCAGGCTGGGCTCCGAGTTGGTGGCTGTAAGGACTTGTAAGATTTTGTAAGGGCTCACCCGCTAGTTGTGCTTACGCGGGGCGGCGGTAAGCGCAACTAGCCCGGACGCAGCGCAACCAAACCTCAAAAACACACTCAGTTGTGCTGTGGCAGCTGTAGTTGTGCTTACGCGGGGCGGCGGTAAGCGCAACTACATGACGCTGGATGCAGCTAGGGTCACCTAGGCTGTGAGCCAGCCAAGGCAAGCGAACAAGCAGTCGCTTGAGGGAGCTGGGGGCCGGGCTCGGGGGGGGGGCAGATGCAGGGCAGCCTCTGCCAGCCTCGTACCATCTCCGCCCGACTTCAAACCATTTCAAACCACTTGCCCCCCCCCCTTAAGATCTTTTGACATCTTTTAAGTTAAGCGGGATATGTCGGGATATAGTGGGATTAAGTGATGGGGCATAGCTATAGCGGGATATAGCGGGGCTGAATAGGATTGAATAGGGATTAGTGGGACTTAGAAGGGCGGAGCAGGGCTGGATAGGGCTGGTGCTTTTTCGCAGATCTTGTCTAATAGATTCTAATAGTCTAGTTGCGCTTACCGCCGCCCCGCGTAAGCACAACTAGAGCTGCCACAGCACAACTGGGCGTGTTTTTGAGGCTTGGTCGCGCTGCGTCCGGGCTAGTTGCGCTTACCGCCGCCCCGCGTAAGCACAACTAGCCAAATAAGATAACATACTATAAAAAAAAAGGCATAGTAAGGCTGACACAGGCTTGATGCTAGATGCGTCTTGGAGATTTTGGGAGTATGGCGGGGCACTTGGAGTTTTGGCCAGCTTCAATCCCCGCAAAAAATCACAGTAGGATACATTAGATTACAGTAGGCTCAAACTGTCTGGGTGCTTTTTTCAATCATCTTTAAGCCATTTTAAACCACTTTGGACCGGCTCTATCCGGCTCTTGTGAACTAGGCAACATGACGCTAGGCGGGGGCGTGTTGAAGTAGGCTGGAGGCATCTTGACATATCTTGAGGCTAGCTCAGATTACTTGAGTGCGCTATGCTGAGATATGCTGAGATGATCTGGCGAGCGCGCCCTGTCAGGATGTCAGAAGATGAGGGGACAGCGCCCACCGTGGAGGTTGCGCCCATCGTTGGTGCTTTTGAGGCGTGGCTGAAAGAGCAGGACTGGAAGCTGTCGCTGGCTGTTGCGAGTCTTGCGTCGATGCCCTGGGGTGGTAGGCTGCTGCTCTTGCAATGATTTGCAATGTCTATTTTGATATATATTTGATCTTCTTTGTGACATTTTGTGACACTTTGTGAATTAGATGTAAGTTGGCAAACGCGGAAGCTGCCGTAGGACTGGAGATGCATTGCTGCGCATATGGAGAGCACGGAGTTCCGAGAGAAGCTGGTGGAGCTGTTTCGAGAAGATAAGCAGTCTTCGCCGGTGGACGTGTACGACTACCAGCTGGGCGACCAAACCGTGCCTGTGTATATCTTGAGTTCTTCCTTGTCTAACCTTGTCGGTTGGCGGGAGGTGTCCAGGGAGACAGCAGCTGAAAAGGTGAGACTGCTCTCGCAGGATCGCCGCTGGCCAGGGCGACTTTCGCTCAGGCCGGCCTCTGAGAGCCCAGTGACTGCTTTGTCGCCACTGCACTTCATCTCCGGTCATCAGAGGGCTGGCGCCTTCATGTTGTTCGTGGGTTACTGCCCGAGCCTAAGACGCTGACAACTGGAGAATGTCATCGAGCATCTGCGTAATTCTATGTAATTCTACTAATATCTGAAGCGCTGTGTAGTGCTATGTAGCGCTATGTAGCGCTGTTCTAGTTGCAACTAGTTACATGCGTGTGCTGCGTGCTTCTGTTGCATGTTTTGTTTCGCGCTTGTCTGTGTGTTACGTCATGTTACGTCATGTTACGTCATGTTACGTCATGTTACGTCATGTTACGTCATGTTACATGGCGCATCATGGCGTGGCCGTCATCTCCTTCTAAGATCTTCTAAGGCTTGCAGGCAGCCGCAGATGTGCCATCTTGGGCGCTGGAGATGGGTCGCCGGGTTCCAGTCTCCATCCAAAAGCTCGACACCCTGGCTGCGGACCTCGAAGGCTTATCGCGGGTCACCAAGGCCCTCCACGGAACCGTGTCGTTTTCGTATTTGACGGTGCTGAGCTTGGTCAACACACGCGGCATGCCGCTGGAGGAGTTTCAGCAGAGAGTGGGGGAAACCTTAGGCGCCTTGGGCCAAGATCCCGACCTGTTTGCGTGGGGGAGAATGCACGCGATGAGTCGCCGGGTGAGCCTGGGGCTGCAATGGGCTGCAGTTAGGCGCAGACAGGAGTTGACAAGGTCATACAAGATCATACAAGATCATACAGGGATATACAGGGTCAACGTGTGTCAACTTCCTTCAAATTCGAATAGCAACATCATGCAGTGGCCTGAGATAATGATAGAATATGATTGATGCAGGTCTTGTGGCAGGATCACATGGTGGCAAACACACTCAACACGGCATAATACGGCATAGAACATCATAGAACGGCAATTAACGGCACGTTTTACAAGAGCTTGGGGACTTATTTGGGAGATTGTGGGAGAGTTTGGTGATGTTTGGTGGGGGGGGTTTCTGTCTTCCAGAGATGTGCTCGGCTTTTTTAACATTTTTTTACACTTTCTCAGCTGATATAAATGACAGCAAACAAAACCCGGCGACGTGTGCTTTGCATCGAGGCATATCGAGGCTCTTCTGTTGCATGTTTTTTGCGCACAGCGCATTAATGTATAGCTATTTTATAGCGGTGCTGAGATATGCTGAGGACCCCCTCGGCGGTGTCCGCTATCAAGGCTGTGCAGACCTATTACAGTGAGGCGGACATCTATCCCGCCCAGTGGTGGCGTGACCAGGGGGTTATGCTCGTCGGTGACAGGTCCAGAGGAACGCCCTGCGCCACGCCTCAGCAGCAGGAGGTTCTTGTTCAGCGCATTCTCCAGAAACCTTGCTTCCGGGAATCTGTGGGACATTGCGGGATCGGGCAGTCTGGCAAAGTTTGGGCAGGGCGTGTAGAACACAGATGACGCAGGAACCGTGTGCCAAGTCACTTAGAATACACGGTTCCTAGAGGATCCTAGAGGATTTAAAAGATTTTAAAAGGGTCTCAAAGGGGTAAAAGGGAACGCGCCGGGGTAACACGATATAACACGCAACGCATTGAAGACGATCAAAGAGGGACAGCAAAGTGACTCTGCCAGCGGTCTTTGAAATATTTTGCAATCCACTAAAATCCTATAAATATCAGATCGTATCAGATCTGCGCCATTCTATTCTGCAATATTCTGCATATTTCTGCGTTGCTCGTGAGGTGAAGGCAGTTTTGGAGGCGAAGCTGCCCAAGAACCGGAGCCCTGGGGTCATTCGCAAATTGGCTCCAGGCCTAGTTTCCAGCAGTGTCACCAAAGAGAGGAGGCAAGAGCTCTTGCGCTTGACGTTGCTCTTTGACAAGGGCATGACGGTCTCTTCGCCGGTACACAGTTGGTCTTCGGAGGAGCATGACGTCCTCAGGCAGATGTTTGTGTCTGGCGCTATGGACAAGGCAATAGCGCTTGCTGACGAGAAGGCGCACCTGGCAGTTGCAACAGTCGAGAGCTGGCCTGCAGTGGCGCGGGTCCTGCAGACTCGCCGGGTGCAGCAAGAGCAGGCGCGCGTGTCAGAGGTGCTGCTGAGGCTGGAAGCCAAGCGGGAGGCAGTTGCTGTGTTTGGCGAGCCCAGAGCTCTCAGCGACACAAGCGACGATGAGGACAGCCGCGCGAAGAGGCGAGCTGCGGAGCAGGAGCTCTTCCGGGGCTTCGTGGAGAAGCACAGCCAAGACTTCAAGGCTGCCGCCGCCGGTGTCGTGGACAAGGCTCTGGTGACTGCCACGGAGAGCGTGGAGAGGCATCGCCGCTGGCGTTCGGAGCAGGCCTGGGCCCGGCCAGAGTCAGTTAGATCCACCTAGGATCAACCAGGCGTAACTAGGCAATCAGAGCATATCAGAGCCGTAGACAGATGTAGAATATTGTCATATATTGTCGAATGATGTAGACAGCATTGCTGAAGCATTCTGAAGTCCTTTCACGAAAAATAGAATAAAATAGACACACAGGCCACCTAATGTTTCAACTTTAGGCCGAAGATTTCTGAGGAATTCTGGGGATGCCAGGCTGCATAAGATTGCATAAGGCTGCTTTTCGATTTTGGTCACGTTTCTGCTCAGGCTTTTCAGATTTGGTCACAAAATCTCCGAGGGATTTGGAAATATCTGGAGGCCCCAAAGCATTAGGCGCATGATGGCGCACGCAGGCGTTGTCTACGTCGCGCTATGTCGCATTATGTCGCATTATGTCATATTATGTCATATTATG